CGGGTGAGATGCTGGCGCAGGCAGCTGTCACCTGCAGGTGGCACAATCGGTTAGTCGTCCATCCCTGGGAGCGTCTCTTGCCCGCGAACACTTCTCACGCCTTCGCTGCCAGGTCGACCGCCTGCTCGTCGCTGAGCGGCACGCCCTCGACCTCGGTGTAGGTAGAGTCCCAACCGCTGCCTCGGGAGCTCTTGCGCTTCACGCGGCGAGCTTCCGACAGCGCCCTGGCCGTGACGAAGCTCTCGAGGATGGCGGCGGAGATCGCCGCCTTTGTCGAGTCGGCCTGTTCACAGCTGCAGGCGTGAAGAGACGCCGTTCACACCGAGCGCGTCTCCAGCGACGAGAGCATGTGCCTGTTCACAGCTGCAGGTGTGAAGGGACGCCGTTCACACCGAGCGCGTCTCCAGCGACGAGAGCACGTGCCTGTTCACAGCTTGAGGCGTGAAGAGACGCCGTTCACACCGAGCGCGCCTCTAGCGACGAGAGCACCGTCGCGAGTCGAAGCTCGAGCTGCTTGTCGTACTGCTTCTTGTCGATGTCGCCGGGCCCGTCCGAGATGGCAGCGGAGCCCGCGCCCGGTCCGTAGGTGGAGGGAAGGATGCCGCCCCCCAGTTCCCTGTCACATCCTCCCTCGCAAAGTCGGATGCGGTTGGCGGCAAAGGACGCGGCCACTTGGAGCACCTGAGGACGGGGGCGCCACCAGGATTTGCTACGAGCTTATGTAGTTGTGGTTTCCTGTTCACGGGAGGTGGCTGTAAGGTCACACCTTGCTGTCGGTTCTCACGGGCTTGCCAGCGACCGACTTCAGATGCAGGTACCTATTCGCTGGAGATTCGCTGGAGATTCGCTGGAGATTCGCCGAGATTTGACGAGATTCACTGAGATTCCGAGACTAGTCAAGGATGGACGGCAACGGCCGAGATTTGCCGAGATGCCTGAGATTTGTGTGGGCTAAGTGTGCGCATGCTCACAGGCCCAGGGCCGAGCCCTGGCCGTCCCCTCTTCCGAAGAGAGCCTCGGTGAGCTCGTTCTCCGTGAAGCGGGGCATGGCGTCGATCTCCTCCTTGGAGGGCTCGTTGCCCGCGCGGTAGTCGGCCACCGCAAGCATGGTCACACCCGTCGCCTCGCCCACCAGCACTGGCACGTGCAGCCAGATGCACCCGGCGCGGTCGCCTTCGGCGATGGGCGCCGCCCCTTGCTCCACCTGAATTAAGGGAAGTGGGTCTAACGGAGTGTGCTGCGCAGCAGAGCTTGCTTGGATGGGCGCGCCGCGGACTGCCAGTGCTCCTCCGCGCCGAGCGGCAGGAGCTTGTAGTCGAGCACGTACTGGTCGTTCTTGATGTCGAGTCCTACGGCTAGCACAGAACAGACGTGTCACTAGGGGGGTGGACAGAAAAAGTAAGAGTGGCGCAGAGGGCCACGGCCCTTCTTCTGCAGCGCCGTGACAGCCCGCCGCGCCAGCATTTGCGCCGCGGTGCTGTTGGAGGCGTAGCCGGGGAGCTGCACCTACACGCTCGTTACGCCGTCCGGTCGACAAACAGGATGCGCTGGCGTCGACGGTCGAGGCAGCGCAGCCCGCCGAGAGGAGGATGCGCGACTTGTCGTCCGCGACGTCCGTCCTCAGCACCTCTTCGTAGAGGTCCTTCAGGGAGTGCAGCTTCCCTGCGTTGTAGGCGTCCTCCAGATGCTCGGCCGCACGGCCGACCATCTTGGGGTCCGTGGAGACGCGCTCGCTCGAGCGAGGGCCCTACCCACAAGGTTGTGTGTGAACAGCACTCACTACCTAGGCTGCGTCTCGGCGGCATCTCCGCCATATATCTCAGCTCCACGCAAGGCAGCCCTCGGTTAGGTGAACCCCGTGCTCAGCCCCCCAGCCCAATCTCGGCCCGTGTAGTCCGCCCCCCCCCTCCTCTCTCTCTCTCTCTCTGGCCGTGTCGCGGTCATGCCGCAGAGCGCCTCCCGCCCTGGCGCCGCCGACGCCGCCTTGCGCTGCGTCGCCTCCTATATGGCACGTCACGGACGTGTCGCGGACATTCAGAGAGCGCCTCCCTCCCGCCGCCGCCGACCTGCAGCGCCGCCGCGTAGCGCACCGCCGCCTCCTCCGAGATCGGCGCCCGCGTGCCCCAGCCGCCTCCCAGGGTTCGCACCTCCTTCCAGGTGCCAGCAATCTCCTCGCCCAGCAGCTGCACTGCCTTCTTCGCGCATTCCGGTTGGCCGCAAGTGTTGCAGGAGGTGGGCTTTCCAAGCGAGATGGTCGCGCCGCAGCGGGCGCAGGCCCGCCGCGCATCGGAGGCGGGGGCCGCGCTGGGGCCGGCTGGCCTGCGCGCGGTCGCCTTGCGCTCTGCCGCCGCCGCCTTGCGCTGCTCCTGCGCCGCCGCCTTGCGCTGCTCCTGCGCCGCCTTGCGCTCTGCCGCCGCCTGGCTCGCCGCCTGGCTCGCCGCCTGGAGCGCCGCCCGGAGCGCCGCCGCGTAGCGCGCCGCCGCCTCCTCCGAGATCGGCGCCCGCGTGCCCCTTCTGCCTCCTGGAGTTCGCACCTCCTTCCAGGTGCCAGCAACTCCCTCGCCCAGCAGCCGCACTGCCCTCTTCGCGCATTGCGGTTGGCCGCAAGTGTTGCAGGAGGTGGGCCGCCCAAGCGAGATGGTCTGGCCGCAGCGGGCGCAGGCCCGCCGCGCATCGGAGGCGGGGGCCGCG